GTTCCCCTTGGGCCTCCTCTGCAAGGAGCTGATGGCTCCTCTGCCACGACCTGCCCAGTTTAAGGGATTAATTCCCTTCCCTGGTTCATTTCCTCATGCGAGGAAAAGCGCGAAGCTCTGGGAGGGCATCTCTGTGGCGCTAGGGCCACTGTGGCAGCTAGGCAACTGATGGAGCCCTTGGTGGCCAGGAAGGGGATGTGGACTCAGAATCATTACGGTTGGGAAAGACCTTCAAGATCATCAAGGGTGGCGGTAGCCATCACCACCACCCCTGCTAACCCATGTCCCCAAGTGCCTCATCTACACGTTCCTTGAACACTGCCAGGGATGAGGACTCCACCACTTCCCTGGGCAACCTGTCCCAATGCTTCACTATTGTTTCCATGTAGAAATCATTCCTAATGTCTATCCTGACCCTCTCCTGGTGCAACTTGAGGCCATTTCCTCTTGTGGTATTGGTAGTTATTCCGGAGAAGAGGCTGACTACAGCCTCCTTTCAGGTAGTTGTAGGGAGTGATAAGGTCACCCCGGAGCCTCCTGCAGACTAAATAACCAGAACTTCCCCAGCCGCTCCACAAGTGTCCTGCTCTGTCCTGGAACTAACAAGGAGCAGGAACAATCTCCTCCGTGGCGCTGCCAGGGACATCAGTTGCTTGTGAACCTCTTGCACAAACGAGCTCTATCTCAAATGCTTTCATTGGTCTCATGTCATGATACCATTGCCATCAATGCTTCTTCATGAATGAAGGTGTTAAACCTTGGGAGGGTAGTTTTGGAGCTGGCTTGTGGGCACGTGTAAGCAGAACAGACCCTCGAGGGCTTTTGAGATGTTTTCGCGAATGCAGTTGAGCATTACAGAGGAGAGGGGTGACTTCAGAGAGCTCGCCTCACTATCCTGTCTAACCTGAGGCACCTGACTTACCTTACTAAGGAGCTTAAGCTCCTTAAAATCCCCCATGGTAAGAAAGGAGCAGCTCCGGAAAGCAGTTCAGAGGGAATTAGCATCAGGCCAGTGCCTGAAATTAAAGGAAACAAATCTGAGCCTGCGGCTGGGTGCTAAGGTGGGCTGCTGGCCATCAAAGACAGCCAGCGCTGTCTGTGCCAGGACGTCTTTGGGAGAGACTCGGTAGTTTCAGAGGGGGCTGATCTGAAGAACCCTTTGCCTTAAATGCAGTTTGAACCTATGAATTAAAAAGCTATCTGCATTTCATTTTGCCTGTGTCATCTTTGGGTTTCTGCCAGCAGCATTCGAGGTTCTGCTTCTGTCTTCATCGAGTGGAGGGTGTTAAAAAAGCAAAGCCAAAGTGTGGGCAGTAAGGGCCATATGGAAACCAAGATGTTGTTACCTGAGTTTAACATATGGCAATGCTGGTTCATGAAGGCTTCAGTCTTCTTCTGCTGAATTCTGCTCCTTATCCATTTTTGCAGTGTGTTAAATTCCACAGATGTTTATGTTCTGAATCTTTTTTTTTTTCTTGTTTCCATATTCTTGAATTACTTGGAATATGCTCTTGGGCTAGTAAAGGCACAGAGGGGACTAAGAAAGGCAACCAAAGATACCAAGCTGCTTCTGTAAGTGGATGCAGTTCAGCAGACCAGAGTTAAGGAAGCAGAGATCTGCAAAATTGGGAGTGGCACCGAAAAGGTCAAGAAGGAATGACTGTCTTTTCCAATACACAAACTAAAAAGCGCTGCATTCAATGCCCTTGCACTCAAAGGCAGTTGAATGCAAAAGCACTTGAGGTGCTTAAATTGTAGCTAAGTTGACAAACTGTCTCTGGATGTTAGGGGCAGTAAAAGTTTATAATAGCCCCAAAAGATTAGACTTTTATTCCCTGAATATGTCTATCAAGAGTTATTAAATAGTGAAATACCACCTCTGGTTTAGAAGATCCCTGACCTGCCCTGCCAGAAGCTGTGTGCTAAGGAAGGGAACTATCTGTTTGCCTTACTGTGGTGATCTTAGGCATCTGTGGCTGACTGCCATTTCAGGCAAGATACTAAGCGGAAAGTGCCATTTGGTATGACTTTATATAGCTGTTCTCAGTCTTTCTTTTTTTTTTTTTCGTATTTTGTAAAAGTTGTGTTGTATTGCATTATTGCATATAACTTTAATTCAGACACCGAATTATTCTGGAAGCAGAGTGCAAGTCCTCAAGCTGTGGTTTTATATGTTAGCTTCAGGTAGTTTTATGAATGCTGTGAAGAATGACTGATCATAAAACAGCTCAAATTCCAAGCCAGAGCTTGTAACTTTGCACTAAGTTGCTTCTAGCTTGGTAATTCTAAAGGAAGTACCTTCTAGCTGCAGCAAAAAGTATGGGAGAGGTGGAAATAAGAGAATTGATGAGATCTCTTTGGAAGTATGGTTTCCTCCATCTTTTCTGATGTAGCTTTATTATTCCTTAGGGGGACAAAAACATTAATGTAATTTATAAACAGCTCCTGTCATTTCTCACAATTGCTAAACCTATAATAATGAATCACATTCTTTCTTGATCAGGTAACTACTCCCTCAGCAGATATAAAATCACAGGAAATATTGTACAGAGACATGAAAAAGTGATCTCCTATCAAGAAACTGGGGTGGGAATAAGCCGAGTATATTAAGAAGGCATATTAAGTTGAAAAGAAAAAACAAACACCTCGGGACCTAACCAGATTTTGCTTTTTCTATTCGTGGGTTCGCGTCAAGGACGTTTCCGTCAGATCTGCAGCTGTGCCTGGGGTTTGGGACATGGGGCTCCGCATCGGCGTTTCCCGCAGCAGCGCTCGGCAGGGCCCCGTGCCCCATCTGCAGCCACCGCCTCCCTGTGACAGGGCGGCTGCAGGAGTCACTCGCTGGGTAGCTGAACAGAGGATGGGTTTGGCTGATGAGGACGTCTTGTCTTTGCTTAATTGCTTTATTTTTCATTAACAATGCTAACAAGCTCAAAGCTGAAATATCAGTTGCCAAATCTTTGTGTGTTCAGCAGATGCCCTTAATGACAATGTTACCTTGCTGCCCTCAGTAAGTTCACCTGGCTGTAACGCAAGTAAATACTTCAAGGAAGTGATTAGAGTGTCACTCTTCGTTGTGCTCCATTTTCCTTGCTATGTTGGGCTTATGCAATTGTGCTCTGCTAAAAGCCCTATCCTCCCATCCCATCGTTCAGTGGAGGACAAAGGTACCTTCAGGTTATGGTAGATGTATGTTTAGGTCAGCAGTGTCCCTGCAAAAGGTATTTTTTGCTTCCCTCGTTCTGAATGCCTATTCTTGTATGCAACACACACAGAGTGCTGTATAAACACAAACATTTCTGCAGGCCTGCAGTGAGCTGATGCAGCTGAGAATGTTTCAGCTCGATCAGTGCTGCTTTATCTGAGCTGCTGTGCAGGTGACCAAAGTCTGGTGCTAGCAGAGCCGGGAGGAGTTGTGGGGAGAGGACTAATACCCTGGGAAAGAAGAGGGACCTCTTTCCTTCAGTAGCAATACAAGTTTAAATGCATGTCATATTACAGTTTCACTGAAGTCATGCAAGAAAATAACATGTGAGGTCAAGCACAGATAAGCTGCAGTCCTCTGAGCAGGTATTTGCAGGGATTAGAGCAATGCAGGGTAGAGAGGAGGCGATATTCCTCGTTTGAGGTTTTGCAATTCTTCTGCAAACATAATGGCCAAAGTTTCAGATAAACATTGAGATAAATTATCGATTAAGTTAGCCATTTAATGGTCATAATAATGCAGGTATGATCAGCTGAATGCTATTGGAACAACAAGAGGTGTCTCAGCTTGGTCAGGTGAGGCTCCCCGGCTGCTCTTCTGCTCCCTTCTTAAATCCAGCTGCCTTGTGCTCCAGCGTGACTGCTTCAGCACACACATTGCCCGTTGCTACGGGTTATCTTAAACTACATTAAAAAAAAAAAAAACCCTATCTTATCTATGTACAGAAAATGGCCCTGTGGAACCATTTCTGCATCTGCAGGAATCATTTCTACTGACTACTTAGATGTATTTTATGTATGTGCAGCCTGGTCAGTTCTACAGCATGACCCACCTGGGGAATGTCGGGAATGGCCAGATTCTCCTCCCAGGATGTGAATCAGCACATTTAGATGTGGAAATTGGTCTTGGTACATTGGGAGTTGCCTGGGGAAGTCTTCAGGAAAGTCCGAAATCTGTAGGTGAAGATTTCCTGCAGCAGTTAGTCAGGAGCTCTGCTGTGAAGCTTGTGAGGAGCCTGGTCTCAAGCCAGACTAGCTGAGCGGCCCCTGGACCTCCAGGGAGCTACTGACTTCAGAGCAGGTATGAGGGGGTATGAGCACAGACCCAGCTCTTACACCCAGCTGGGGTGGGCAGGAACAACACTGACCACACTCAGAAAGGAGGGTCCTGCTCCATTGCCAGCATAGGATCTCCACTCGATTAAGTTGTTGGCTTGGAATATACTGCTTGGCTCTCATATGACAGACCTTATCTAAAATCTGGCAGATTCCTTTTGTTAAAACTGGTAAAGATCAACTAACAACTTAATGCCAAAGTACTGGGAAAATGTTTACCCAACAGCTGCCTCATTTAGACATTTTTCCAAATGGAAACCAAGGGAACCAGATTTTCCCTCAGCATTTCACAGTCTATATCATATGAGTTAGTTAACATATTGCTTCAGTCAGACATTGGATCTTATTCCTGATACTGTATATTTACCATCACACTCGTTTTAGCTTTTCTCCCCAGTGCAGTGGGCTCAGGGTTTGGTTTAGGATGTTACATGTCAGCGCTACAGTCATTTCAAACCTACCTTACTTACCTC